GTTTGGATCATTTCTCACCATTGATGAACCACACAAAGAATATTACATCATTTTTAAATAGTGCTTGAAATAGACCCGCGAGGAACCGTGATGTGCATGTAGCTGTCGGTCGAGCCTGGTGAAATGTAGCCTCAGTTTCTTGTTCTTAGCTGGCAGGAGTGGCACCCGGTGTGGTCTTCTGCAGCTGTACCCCATTGCTTTAAGGTTCAACATCTTGTGCATTCAGAGATGGTGTTCTGCATACCTTAGTTGTAACGAGTGGTTATTAGAGTTACTGTTGCCTTTCTGTCATCTCGAACCAGTCTTCCCATTCTCCTCTGTCCTCTGACATCACAAGGCATTTATGTCCACACAACTGCCGCTCACTGGATAATTTCACTTTTTAGACCATTCTGTAAACCCTAGAGGTGGTTGTGCGTGAAAATCGAGATCAGCAGTTACTCAGACCAGCCCGTCTGGCACCAACAACCATGCCACGTTCAAAGTCACTTAAATCCCCTTTCTTCCCCATTTGATGCTCAGTTTGAACTTCAGCAAGTTGTCTTGACCACGTCTACATGCCTAAATGTATTAAGTTGCTACTATGTGATTGGCTGATTAGCTATTTGTGTTAACAAGTGATTGAACAGGTGTACCTAATAAAGTGGCCAGTGAGTGTGTATATTCTGTATATTTTAATTGTCACCTGCAACCTGAATTTTCTGATTTCCTTCACATAAATAAAACAATGAAACATTTTAATAAACTGGCACAGAAACTAACCATTTAATGATCAAATGTTCATTTAATTCGGACTGAAGATTTCTTAAAAATAGTGTTAAAATCCTGTCTCGTCTCGATCTCGTGAGCTAAGTGTCTCATCACACCCTACCTATGTTTAGGAAGGTAGAAAAGTGGCCTTTATTTCTCTTTGTGCTTTGTTTGTTATGTAATCTAGTGAGTATGATTATCGGATGTTTTGTTTATTGCTTTGGCCATGCTCTCCCTGACGCCTAATTTACCTGATTGATGAATAATGAATTCTCTGTAGACTGTATCAGCTGTGGCAATAGTCACCTTTGGGAGTGGGGAAAGAAGGAAGTCTTTTTTTGCTGCCCTCAGGTTTCCCTTCAGGCAGGTTAATAATTCAGGTTTTTTCATTCACATTTAATCTGTGATAACGAACTTCAGAGAACTCTGGAGTTTTTTAAGATGTAAGAAATTTGATGAGCGAACATGGCTTGACAGCAAATTTGCCACAAGTTCACATACCCACTGCCCAGTAACACTGACTTTAATGTTGGTAAATTTATATGCTTAGTTAACATTAGGGTATTCAATATCTGAGACTGCGGGCCTCCCCTTACTTTATTTGGTTTGCTTAGTTTCAGTAATACATAGCTGTCTGACGTAACTTCAATACCAAATACATAACAAAGGCCTTAAAGCATTTATCAGTACCTGAAACCGTAAAATATCTCAAAACTACTGTATCTCTGAACTCCCTCTTTAACCAGATCACACATTCAGCTATTGTATGTGATCTCCCTGGGGAGGCCCACCACCCACTTTGAAAACCCCTGCATTAGGAACTTCAAATAGCAGGGTTGGTTGTTCTCTCTCTCGTTACCACAGTGCATTGTAACATCCGTTCATTGAAATAAAGTGTGTCCATAGATCCCGACCACAAACCATTTACCTTGAAACCATCGTTTTGTCGTCATGTAATTAATGCTGCTTGAAACATCGAAATTCACCAGTGAAGTTGCAAATGTTGCATTGAAAGTACATTTAAGTTTGTTTCCACTACCTACAACACCTACATGTTAATACACAAAAGAATATTTCTGACTCAGGTCAGTTGAACTTACGCACAGACTGCTGGTGGCCATTGCTGCTGCTGCTTGCAATTTCTCTTAAATAGGCAGACTCCTGAAATCCACATCTGATGCTGAACATCATGGGTGACATATCTTGCTCCGTAGGAACACAGAAAATGTAGACATTAATTTATTATTTCATTCACATGTAATCTGTTATAAACAGCTTCAGAGATCTCTGGAGTTTCTGGATCTAGGAAATATGACGAGCAGATTTTATTGCTAGTAGGACTCACCTCTTAAGCTCAGAGGCTTTCCATTGTTCTCTTTCACAACCTGACCCAGGCGAGTTAACAGCTCTGGAAGTTCAAGGTTTTTCCTCCACAGAAACCTGTAGTGACATTTTCTGATCATCTCCTTTAAGGGAGGATGGTTCATGTATTTTTCCATGAAACCTGAGCTCTCCTCTCTGGGTGTTGATATCAGAACCAGTGAATGATCAAATGATCTATGACTGAAGAGTTCCAGGACTCTGCAGAGCCTCAGTTTGTGTTCCTCAGTGAAGTCTTCAGGCTGTAGAACCAGCAGGAACACATGAGGTCCAGGATCAGAGAGTCTCACACAGTTTTCTAGAGGTCTTCTCAGACTCTGTTGTAAGATGCTGGGAAGCAGCAGATCTGGGGTGTTGATCAGAACTATTTCTTTCCCCTTCAATCGTCCACTGACTCTCAGACAGTCGTCTGGTTCTTCCTGAGTGTTGAACTTAGTCTCTCCCAGTATGAAGTTCCCCACTGAACTCTTTTCAGACCAGCTGTTCCCCAGCAGAACAACCCTCAGCTCAGACACTGAAAATAAATCACTGAATTAGGAAACACATAAGTATAGACTGAATCCATGCGGAATAAAATAAAATGGGGTTAACAAGAATTCAGGACGTCACAGCTATTAAGGTTTTACCAGTGGGTTTTGTTGTTGCACATCCACCAATGTGTCACTTAACCCCTAGTTACTCCAGAGGTGTGTGACCTCTAACTCTGAAACTATTTTGATCAAATCTACTTTTAAAATAAAGTCCTATCTCTAATATAAACCTGCTTCAAATAAAGACTTGTGAGTCGGCCAATATTACAAAATTAATTTTGTTATTTTAGAGAAAATGTGAAAATATCGAGTCATAAATCATATATATCATGGCATAGCCTAAATGTATTGAGATCTTTCTTTTATACCCGTAGCGCCCAGTCCTGCCTACAAACGCTGTAATTCTAGATTTTAATATGGAAGAAAATATTTTGACTCCGTTCTACTCACTGTTAGGTGGCAGGAATTCAAAGCTGCTGCTGCGCGTCACAGGTTCCTCTTCTGGCTCTGCAGGGATACAGAAAATGTAGATGATTATTCATTCATTCATTCACATTGAATCTGTAAGAAACCTGCTCATTACAATGATTGTTGGTGTCCACAAGTTGCATTAACATTTTCACTGCCTGAAAACACTGATTCAATTATTATTTACTCTCCCCGAACCCAGTTGATTATTGTCACTATCCTGTTCTGAGTATAATAATATAAACACAGACAACCCATGTTTATATTATTTTGGCCATGCCTTCCTCTTTTGATTCTTGTTTCTCTTTTTACGGGTTTTGGTTCTTGATTCTGAAGTTTTGGTTGAGTTTAGTTCTCTGTGAGTTCATTTATTGATCAGTTCAGTAACCGTTTCAATCCTGTCTGTTGTCTTGCATCCAGTCTTCTCGGTGTGTGTATGTAGTTTGACTTGGTCCTGTCTATCTGTGTCTTGTGTAGTAGGTACTATGTTGTTCTGTCTTCTGCATGTTCTGTGTGGTTGTTCTGGTCTGATCTATCCTGTTGATATTTCGCTGCCTGCCTTGGTTCTTTTCCTGTCTGAAAGGTCGAAAGGATCAAGTTGAGGTGGTTTGGGCATCTGGTAAGGATGCCTCCTGGACGCCTCCCTAGGGAGGTGTTCCAGGCACATCCAGCTGGGACGAGGCCTCGGGGAAGACCCAGGACTAGGTGGAGAGATTGTATCTCCACACTGGCCTGGGAACGATCCCCCGGTCAGAGCTGGTTAATGTGGCTCGGGGAAGAGAAGTTTGGGGTCTCATGAGATGTGTGTTTCATGTTTGGGAATGGAGCACGCCCGGGCAGCTCTTGAGGGGGCTGCCTGCGCCCGTTGCGAAGCCCTTTCCGTGCGGGTACTGAGGTACAGCATGGCTCTCTTTTCCGAGGATGGCCGGATGTGTTCTCCCTGTGGTGCGGGCCCTGCGGCCGCTGAGGCAGCCCGGCCGCTTCACTCATGGGGTTCACAGCGATGTCGGAGGATTTCGGGAAGGCTGAGGCTTTTTCCCAACCTTCATCCGCTGGCTGCGACGCTTCCTTAGTGTCGTAACCGACGCAGTTCGAGTTCCCTCGAAGGGGAACGTCTCGGGTTACGTATGTAACCCTGGTTCCCCGAGAAGGGGAACGAGACACTGCCTCGGCCCGCCGCACCTCTCCCCGCCTGAAGCGCCTGCTTCATAGTTTAAGCTAATGATGAGTGTAGGTGTGCTTTATACTCCTCCGGTTATTCCGTCACACCTTACCGTTCTAGCAACAAGCCAATAGGATTGGAGTGATTTCATTCACGTTCAGACCTGCTACGCCTAGAGGCGTTCCCATAGTGTCGTAACCGACGCAGTGTCTCGTTCCCCTTCTCGGGGAACCAGGGTTACATACGTAACCCGAGACGTTATATTGTGTGTATTTCTTGGTTGAATCTCTTCTTTGGGTTTCACATCCACTGTTTCTTCGGTTACAAAGCACAGCCTCAAATTAGTATTTCACTTTTCAAAGTATTGTCTGTGGCATCAAAAGCCACCAAGCTCTTGCCGAAACCCGGGATCGAACCAGGAACCTTTAGATCTTCAGTCTAACGCTCTCCCAGCTGAGCTATTTCGGCCGCTGTTGCTTTGTTGACCCACCAGAGGCCGATCTAGCATAGGATAACGTTTCTGATATAATGCAGCACAGGTACTCTTGACTTTTGAAGCAAATATTTTGATTATTTTCTCACATTATTAAAAACAATTACTTTTACTTAAATAGCATTTTAATCCAGTGTCTACAAACGGTTTCCTGAATTAGATGGAATATGTAGTGCGGGGTGAGGGGGTCCCTCCTCAGGGCTATCTAATCCCTGTACATCCAAAGCGAGAACTGTGTCCGAGTACCCGGCAGTAAGTCGGACTCTTTCCAGGTGAGGGTTGGCCTTCGCCAGGGCTGCGCTTTGTCACCAATCCTGTTTGCGACAGTCATGGACAGGATATCGAGGCGTAGCCGTGGTGGGGAGGGGTTGCGGTTCGATGGGCTTGGTATCTCGTCACTGCTTTTTGCGGATGATGTGGTCCTGATGGCGTCATCGGCCCTTGACCTTCAGCTCTCACTGGATCGGTTCGCAGCAGAGTGTGAAGCGGTTGGGATGAGGATTACCACCTCTAAATCTGAGGCCATGGTTTCAGCAGGAAACCGGTGGAGTGCCAACTCCAGGTAGGGAATGAGTCCTTACCCCAAGTGAAGGAGTTCAAGTACCTCGGGGTCTTGTTCACGAGTGAAGAGAGACTGGAGCAGGAGATTGGCCGCAGAATTGCACTCGCTTTACCGCACCGTTGTGACGAAAAGAGAGCTGAGCCGTAAGGCAAAGCTCTCGATCCACCGGTCAATTTTTGTTCCTACACTCACCTATGGTCATGAAGGCTGGGTCATGACCGAAAGAACGAGATCGCGGGTACAAGCGGCCGAAATGGGTTTCCTCAGGCGGGAGCTCAGAGTAGAGCCGCTGCTCCTTTGCGCTGAAAGGATCAAGTTGAGGTGGTTTGGGCATCTGGTAAGGATGCCTCTGACGCTAGGAGGTTCAGGCACTCCTGGACAAGGCCTCCCTAGGAGAGATTGTAGACACTGGCCGGAACGTCCCCCGGTCAGAGCTGGTTAATGTGGCTCGGGGAAGAGAAGTTGGGGTCCCCTGCTGGAGCTGCTGCCCTCTTACCTGAAGAAGAAGTCTACCAGCATGTCCGGCAACCAGATGTACAGAAGGTGTGTTTTTCTTGCCCTCGGTACATCACGGATAGAGATTCTCATGAGATGTGTGTTTCATGTTTGGGAATGGAGCACGCCCGGGCAGCTCTGAGGGGGCTGCCTGCGCCCGTTGCGAAGCCCTTTCCGTGCGGGTACTGAGGTACAGCATGGCTCTCTTTTCCGAGGATGGCCGGATGTGTTCTCCCTGTGGGCGGGCCCTGCGGCCGCTGAGGCAGCCCGGCCGCTTCACTCATGGGGTTCACAGCGATGTCGGAGGATTTCGGGAAGGCTGAGGCTTTTTCCCAACCTTCATCCGCTGGCTCCGACGCTTCCTTAGTGTCGTAACCGACGCAGTTCGAGTTCCCTCGAAGGGGAACGTCTCGGGTTACGTATGTAACCCTGGTTCCCCGAGGGGGAACGAGACACTGCCTCGGCCCGCCGCATCTCTCCCCGCCTGAAGCGCCTGCTTCATAGTTTAAGCTAATGATGAGTGTGTACAGGTGTGCTTTATACTCCTCCGGTTATTCCGTCACCTTACCGTTCTAGCAACAAGCCAATAGGATTGGAGTGATTTCATTCACGTTCAGACCTGCTACGCCTAGAGGCGTTCCCATAGTGTCGTAACCGACGCAGTGTCTCGTTCCCCTTCTCGGGGAACCAGGGTTACATACGTAACCCGAGACGTTATATTGTGTGTATTTCTTGGTTGAATCTCTTCTTTGGGTTTCACATCCACTGTTTCTTCGGTTACAAAGCACAGCCTCAAATTAGTATTTCACTTTTCAAAGTATTGTCTGTGGCATCAAAAGCCACCAAGCTCTTGCCGAAACCCGGGATCGAACCAGGGACCTTTAGATCTTCAGTCTAACGCTCTCCCAGCTGAGCTATTTCGGCCGCTGTTGCTTTGTCGCCCACCAGAGGCCGATCTAGCATAGGATAACGTTTCTGATATAATGCAGCACAGGTACTCTTGACTTTGAAGCAAATATTTTGATTATTTTCTCACATTATTAAAAACAACTACTTTTACTTAAATAGCATTTTAATCCAGTGTCTACAAACGGTTTCCTGAATTAGATGGAATATGTAGCGCGGGGTGATGGGGTCCCTCCTCAGGGCTATCTAATCCCTGTACATCCAAAGCGAGAACTGTGTCCAAGTACCCGGCAGTAAGTCGGACTCTTTTCCAGGTGAGGGTTGGCCTTCGCCAGGGCTGCGCTTTGTCACCAATCCTGTTTGCGACAGTCATGGACAGGATATCGAGGCGTAGCCGTGGTGGGGAGGGGTTGCGGTTCGATGGGCTTGGTATCTCGTCACTGCTTTTTGCGGATGATGTGGTCCTGATGGCGTCATCGGCCCTTGACCTTCAGCTCTCACTGGATCGGTTCGCAGCAGAGTGTGAAGCGGTTGGGATGAGGATTACCACCTCTAAATCTGAGGCCATGGTTCTCAGCAGGAAACCGGTGGAGTGCCAACTCCAGGTAGGGAATGAGTCCTTACCCCAAGTGAAGGAGTTCAAGTACCTCGGGGTCTTGTTCACGAGTGAAGAGAGACTGGAGCAGGAGATTGGCCGCAGAATTGCACTCGCTTTACCGCACCGTTGTGACGAAAAGAGAGCTGAGCCGTAAGGCAAAGCTCTCGATCCACCGGTCAATTTTTGTTCCTACACTCACCTATGGTCATGAAGGCTGGGTCATGACCGAAAGAACGAGAATAGGATAACGTTTCGAAATCACAAAGTTTTACCACATATGTAAAACTAAAACATGACATTTTCTCAGTAAGTAAAGTGTAACTGTACTGTAAAAGGAGTCCTAGTTTGTTTTCATGGTATTACTAGGGTCTTACCCTATAATCGATAATAGATTTCCCAAACCTTTTAGGCAATCACACATTTGTACCATATTGTGTGTGTTTGTTGGTGTGACACAAGGAACTCAATAATATCCACGATCGCCCTCACATATATGTAATTCCTTGCCATTTGCCCCTCCTTGACAAGTGTGGAGACCTCAGCACCTTTGGCATTATGAGCACAATATTCCTTCTAGAGAGCACTGCATATCAAATGTTCCTTGCTGGATGTATGTCTTGATAAAACCTTCGGTGTTTTCCATCGTAGGTTTCCAGTTAGAGAAGCCCGTGTTGGTGAAGGCTTTGTCCGCGTTAGCACTAGACCCATTATTATTAAACTTCTGACATGGAAAGCAAAATGCACCATCAGCAACCACTGAATATTCCAGGCACTCTCTTCCATTAAACCAGCTTCTGTTAAATGAGCGTTTTTGAGTATTAAG